TATTTATAGACAACAAAGGGTAGTGTGAACAAATGTTTATTATGCCTTATCGGAAAGGTCACAATGCTTTGGAAAAGTCAAAACCCTTCAGAAAGGTCACAACCTTTCATAAACGTCACAACCTATCATAAAAAGTCGCAACTCTTCATAAAAGTCACAATTTTTCATAAACGTCACAACCTATCATAAAAAGTCGCAACTCTTCATAAAAGTCACAATTTTTCATAAACGTCACAACCTATCATAAAAAGTCGCAACTCTTCATAAAAGTCACAATTTTTCATAAACGTCACAACCTATCATAAAAAGTCGCAACTCTTCATAAAAGTCACAATTTTTCATAAACGTCACAACCTATCATAAAAAGTCGCAACTCTTCATAAAAGTCACAATTTTTCATAAACGTCACAACCTATCATAAAAAGTCGCAACTCTTCATAAAAGTCACAATTTTTCATGAAAGTTTCAACTTTTCATAAAAGTCACTACTTTTCATGAAAGGAGAAGACTAGTTTTGGAAATAAATAAATTAAAAAGAAATCCTAGTTTGTGGTGGAGCCATGTATGCGGGATTTGGGTTCTCTTTTTAATATATACTAGTAAAATTACCCGCGCCTCGCGCGGGAATTTAATATCACAGAATTTATAAAATAATATTTAAAGCGTATCAGTCACTAAAACTAAAAAACTATAAAGGAAGATGATAATTATAGCATCTTATCATTTATCCTTCAATCAATAATCTTTAATTTGATTTTAAAAAATCCTTTTGCTCCTAGGTAGTGTTACTATTTGATATTTTTTGGGGAATCAAATGAACATCAACCGGAGATATCAAATTATTTAATAAATAAATAATCATTGGTGAAGGGATAAATAAATTTTAAAAGGTTGAAGAAGTGAACAAATATTCTAATTCTTAGAAAGTTCAGCCCTACCTTTTGCTTTACATATATCATTTTAAAGTTGGAAAAAGGCATAAATTCCCCCTTGAACTTGTCCCGAAAAGTCAGTTACACACTTAAACTATTATTGTGACCTACCTATACTATTCAAAAGTGAATTTTCTTACCCCCTAAAATTGACATGGCAAAAAAACAAAAAATAGGCGCGTCAGTTTGAAATTAAAGTAAAAAAAAAGTTAGAATACTCTTTACCACCCCCACCCCCCACACCTCTTCTTCTTCAAACCCCACCCATTGTCCTCTTCTTCTTCATTCATTATTTTCATCACACTTCTTTATTTTTTATCACAATCTTAAAGCATAATTTTTTTTGATTCGCAATTAGGTTAATTCCCATAGATTTGTTAGTGAATAATTATATTTTATCTAGAAAAAAATTGATTGATTATTTCTATATTTTTCAAAAAAAAAATTGACTTTGTTAAAGAATATTTGGTTGTTAATCAATTTTTTGTTTGGTGGTAATAGCAGCTTTATGGGTTTGGTGGTGATGGGTGGCGGGTGACAAACATTAAAAGAGGTAATTGAAGGTGGTGAAGAAGAAAAAATCGATATTGATAATGGTCGTGGTGATATTTGGTGTTGGGTGACAAACAGGAAGAAGAATTGAAGGTGATATAGTGGTGGTGAAGAACAAAATCAATAGTGAAGGTGGGGTCGGATATGATTTTCTGATGAAATGAGAATTGAAAATGAGTGGGATTAGTGATGAAAAAGATATAATTATTAGAGAATTAAAATAATTAATTAGGGATTAGTTAGAGTAAAACATAGTTAACAAAAGAAAAGTTAATTAATAAAGAAAAGAAAATAAAAATTATAATTTATGACATGACGCTGATGTAGCGCTGATGTGGCAGCGAGTGTAATACACCACATAATGTGAGAGTGGTGTTACACGTCTCATGGTGGTAATAAATTCACTTTTGAATAGTTAAGATGTGTAATAGGTCACCATGATAGTTTAAGCGTGTAACTGACTTTTCGAAACAAGTCCAGGGGGAAATCTATGCCTTTTCCCTTTAAAGTTCCCCATTTAAATGTATCTTAAGTAATTATTAAAATGAAAAATTAAAGGGGAGAATGTATCATATTGAACAACAATTCAACTTATTATATATACTTGAAAGGGAAAAATATTACACAAAACTATTCAGTTTGTTTGGTTGTTCTTTAAAAAATCAACATAGCATAGTGATGAAGTTCAATTTGAAACTACACTTCTATTCCAATCGCAGTGTGGAGAAGCACATCTATTACGTCAAGAAAAGTATTTACAACTTGCAGTAAACTTGAGAAAATGTCCATACTTCATATTGTGAATCTGAACGATTAATTTATTGTGTAGTTATCTATGTCTTTGAGATTAAAAGAGGCTGCAGTGTAGTCATATTCCTCTATAGGTCATCCGGCACATCCTTGAACTTATGTCAAAAGTTTATTAATTTTTGTCTTCTTTTCCTGGTTCACTTCGCACATCAAGGTGCGATAATGTTTTTAAGGTCTTTATGTGCTTACAATGACATACCAAATTTGAATTTTGTCTTCAAGATATGGCAGTATAGATCTTTAAGGAATTCTTTTATTGTACCTTCAATAATTTGAGTAGAGAAAACTTGCATGAATACTTAATTAACGTATGTTATTTAATCTGTACTAACAAATACTTATAACAATAACTTTGCAGAAACATAAACAACAAAATTTAAAACATGCACTCAAAAACAACAATTAATAACATAAGCATAAATTAATGACTATAAAAAAATTACCAGGATCTGTAACAATAGAATGAAACAGAAAGGAAAAAATTGAGCCCACTGAATGCATAGTGCACCCTTAAGGAAATTATTCCCCTCTAGTACGCAAGGTTTAAAGGAATAGATCCTCTTAGGATAGGAGGATTTTATTCACGAGTGTATTGATACAAAAACAATGGTGTAGTGAGCCACTCAACAGGAGAAAAGTACACAAATATTTAATTTAATTGTACAGAAGAAGAAGAAGAAGAAGTTCAGAATTTTTGTTGTTTTAAAAAAAAGAGAGGAAATCCCTCTATTTATAGACAACAAAGGATAGTGTGAACAAATGTTAATTGTGCCTTCTCAGAAAGGTCACAACTCTTTGAAAAAGTTACAACCCTTCGAAAAGGTCACAACCTTTCATAAAAGTCACAACATTTCATAAAAGTCGCAACTCTTCAAAAAAGTCACAACTTTTAATAAAACTCACAATTCTTAAAATAAAAAAAAGTCACAACTTTTCATAAAAGTCACAAATTTTTCATAAAAGTCATAACTTTTCATGAATGGAGAAGACTAGTTTTTGAAATAAATAAATTAAAAGGGAATAATGGTTTTTGGTGGCGTCACGTAGGCGTATGATTGTCGATGTTGAACTTTATTCATAAAAATCTTGCCACCGCCACTTCTATTTATACATATAGAGTCTGAATCAAAATTATTGAATTCAGATGAACCTGTAATGTAAATAATCAGACCACATCCACATAATGCAATACCATGTATGTAGCTATATCAAAGCCACTGTGAACAGATGAATACTAGTATTGAATAGATATAACAAGACAAAAGAACTTCCACTAAAATTTTAAGTTATGTAGAAATAAAATCACTTACTTCCAAATCAACAAAAATGAAACGGTTCTGAGTTAGATCCAACTACTTTGTCCATATATAAAATAAAAAAATGTTCCACTTCTTGCAAGTAGACAATCAAGATCCAACTACTCTTTTGCATTTGGAGTTAATTTTGAAAAACAATGTTAGGAAACTGATGTAAGTTGATATAATGCAGCAAAGAAATAGTTTTGTTTGGCTTGGCAAGTGCTATAAGGGAAAATAGGAATAAAATATCTCGAGTTTGAATCAAGTGTATGAACATTTACCCCTTGGGTGAACAAAATTAGTTAGGACGTTACGTTTCAAATAATGAATGGTTAAATTAAAAAAAAATCTCTTGAGATCATACTTTGGGAGCTTGAGGAAGTATACAAAATGCTTGAGGAAGATTAGGTTTAAGCCATTGAACAACATTATGTATTAAACCACATCAAACTTGAAGATTTACTACGACCATTAAGCACGTCTCCCTCTTTCTAACTCTTTTCACATGTACTTTCTACATATCTCTATACCTTTTTTGCATTTTCCTATCAACTATTACAGTTACGGTAGGAAAGGAAGGCCTGAAGAAAAGGACATAGATTTTTTCTACAATGACCAGATTCATTTTCCTGCTGCTATTCTTAAGTTGCTAACTATTCTGAATAATGAAAGTGGACACTAATCCGCTCCTTAATTGGTGTACTACAAGAAGGACATTCATCCATTCCTTTCTTTTGGTGAAGCACGTAGCAATCTTCACAAAGGAATTGATGTGCACAAGGGAGAAAAACCACTGAAATCTGCTCATTCATACACATAACACACTCCCTCACCATCTTTATAACATTAGAGCCAGAACTTTCTACATAGGCTGCTAAACCAGTTGTCATTTGATGAATGCCTCGTTTAAGTGCCTCTATTTTTTATCTTTCAGATTGGAATCTCAACTGAGAGATTTCACTCTCACACTTTAGAATTTCTTCTTTATACTTTTGCATGTTTCTCTCTATCCTCTCTCTAAAATTATCCCGCTGCACTTTTCCCTGAACACGGAGTAGTTCTCTTTCTTCTTTCATAGACTCAGCTTGTTGTAGAAGCCTTTGTTTCACCCATTCCTCCTGCTTCATTAGGACCTGGAATTCATAAATATTTACAAATTTATTTTATAATAGAAGGAATATCAAATAGCAAATGCTTTATCAGTAGGGTTGCATAAGTGAAAGCTTGAACCACTATTACCGGAGGCAATAACTAAAAAACAACAAGTCATTAACAACCTAGAGGCTCTAAAACACTAACTATATTTGTAAAAAACATTTTACCTTGATCAACTAGGCAAATAAGTTTAATTAGAAGAATAAAATACCTTAAACTGGTCCACGACCTTGTTGGCTTTCTCTTGCTGCTGCTACAAAGAAGTTTTGTTTAGCTTGATAGTAGATAAATCTTCTTCAAATGAGCGTTTCTCTGTGTCTGCTGCTTCACACTTCTTCATTGCGTCCTGCTCTTTTGCTAAAACATTTTTCACGTTCATAGCATGCTTACAGGTAGAGAGCATTACGATCTCCATATCCTTCTTTAGTCCAACATTATCCATCTCCAAAGTGTTAAGAAGAGAATTAATTGTCTCACTCATGGAATTAGTATTTACCAACATTTGCTCTATCTCCATAATCCTCTCCATGGTGTTTTCCTCCAGTATTTGCTTTTCCTGGTGAACTTTTTCAGCATCTTTTTTTTCTTGCCTAATCAGTTTAAGCTCAACCTTGTCCTTGCCAAGCCTCCGGGTAGCCTGCATTACCTTTTCATTTGCCCAATCAAACCATCCTTGGAGCTCTTTCTTCAGTGTCTCCAAACGGGAAGTTCGCAACAATATAGTTTCATCTCGTTGATTTTGAGGAACATATTTCCCTAGAGACTCATCATATGGGATACCAACATAATAATATGGCACCGCAAAAGAAATAGTTGTGTTGTCTCAGACACTTTTGCTAGAATTAGGCTCCATGGATAATAAATTTGGATCCTTTTCATTTATATTATCTTGCATAGGTGGCACTTTGGAGGTGTCACTTGCAGGTGCAATGGATGAGGAAGGGCATGGACTATCAAAACTTGCTTTTTCTAATGGTTGATTGCATTTAACCGAAGTTTTTACTTTAGAGTGCGAACTCTTCTTTGTTGCATCAGAAAAAGACGAGTTCAGTTTCTTGTCCAAATCCAAATTACCCCAGGCAGTCATGTTTGCCTTAATGTTTTTACCTGTACAAATTCTGCGGTTCTTCTCAAACTGATATGTCTTTTGCCAATGCAAATCCTTCTTGGAATTCAGGGCCTTTTGAGCGGCCCCCGATTTGTCTTCTAAAACTGCTGCTTTCGATTTAGCCTCTGCTTTTGGAAAAGGTGTGGAACTTTCTTTTCCTTTTACCACTTGACAAACATGTGAATTTTTAGACTCAGGTTCTTGAGGGGTTGCACTAGCAACAAGAACTTTGGACTTTAAGTTTTGAGCAATTGGGGTAAAAGGTTTTGACAACTATTGTTTATTCGGGTTTGAATGAGTATTCTCAGAAGCCTCAATCTTTGATTGGGAATGATTCAAACCAAACGAGTTACAGCCTGGAATTTCTTGGCTGCATAACTCAACCAGATGATAGCCTTTCATTGCACATGCATGTACGAGGTTCAAGTCCAATATTAATAGCCACCACATTGCTTCTACAACTGGCAAAGCTGGCTTAACCTCTCTCAGCACACATACCATCTCCAGCAATGTGTAATAAACCAAGAACGGTAATTCTACAAATACAACAGGTCTACTGATATCGAAAACCTTTTCCCTACTCAATAAAGCCAAGGCACCATCGACAACATTTGAGACAACATCTTTGCTACCATGATAAATGCCACTTCTCAAGATAACCCTTTCAGTAATTTCCTCACTGTATCCACAGTTGGCAATCCTCTTGACTGCGCTCTGAAAAATTGTGGAAATATTTTGGGTTAAAAGCTCAAGAAGTTGAGTAGTTATCGTATCCTCCCAATCTATATCTGGTGGCGTTTCCATTTTTTGTTCCGCATCAAACTGAGGACACCCGCCCTTCAATGGGTCAATCTCAAAAAGAGTGCCTCCTTTAGGTGCTTTCTCTAATAATTCATATCTTGGAAACTCCGCAAGAGACGGCACATGTGAATTAGTAGGAGTTCCTAGAGGAAGCTTAGATACAAACTTCCTCTTGTTCCTGCTTCCTTCTTCCTAGTTAGAAACCACCAATGACTTTTTATCGGCATCATCACTGATGTTATCATCAACCATGTTGATTATCTTTTCTATGAGTATTTATTACTGCTCTAGTTTGATCAGTTAAGTGTCTAGCCATAGTTTCCAGTCCTGCAACAAAAAGTCATTCAAGAGATAATATGGACGTGTGAGGATTATAAGTTAAGATAAACACATAACAACAGAGAATTAGAGTTGCTAAACAAAAGGAAAAACCCACATAATGTTTATTTGATAGGCTAAATGACAAAAAACAAAAATGACAGGCTAATTGCAACAAGAACAACTCCAGTGAGAATGATTAAGCAGAAACATTTATCGTATATGTGGAACTCCCAAAGACAGGCTGACAGCAATAAGAACAACTCTAATTAGCTCAATAAACCAGCAACATTATCATACATGTGAAGCTGCCAAAGAATTACTTAATATTCTATAAGGATTACAAATTCTACATTATTTCGGTTACTCAAATCTCTATCTTTCAATGTAACATCATTCAATGGTAATCCGGGGATTAAAATTAAATAGAAGCATACCAGCAGAGAATAAAAAAATTGCCAAAACAAAAGGAAAAAATGTATCCATTATTCAAACAAAAATGCGAACGACAAAAAACAGCTCTAGTAAGCATAATTTTGTAGAAAAACTTAGTATTCTGAAGAAAAAAAATCACTGAAATGAATCACCGGGGGGGGGGGGGGAAAAAGGATTTG